CTGATTTAACACTAGAACTATCAATATATTTTTTATATAGACATTTTACTATTAAAAGCCCGTCATTTTCGGTATTAGTTCTAGTGTTGACAATTACTAAATTAAAGAGGAATTGTTTTAAAATAATTATGAAATACTGTTTGAAGGATTGATAGTTGAGATTGTTTTAAAACTTACGGGGGTAATTGTTTTATCTTTCAAGTGATCAATTAGTGCAATTATTGTTAACATAAATTTTCTAAATGTGTATAAACAATTTTTCTGTAAATAGGATAATTTAAATATTGTAAATCATAAAATAACAAGGAAGGTTCTCAGAAGATAGAAAAATGTGCCTGAATTGCAATGAGCTGCCGCTTTTTCTGTAGCAAAGAATAGAATATTTTGCTAATCATAATTTACCAAAAAATCAAATGCTTTATTAATGTTCAATAATGTTATTTCTGTTGTATAATCAAAGTCAAATTAGTTCTTTTTATAGGTGGATGCACCACTTGTGACCTCTTTTAGGATTTTCATATAATTCATTAATATCTCTGTTAGCCAAGTCTGCAATGATAGATTTTGTCTGTTGCCTGATTCTAAGATTCTTTAATCAGAATGGTTACTTTGAAGCAAAATATGCTCTGTAGAGGATATGCAAGCAGGTGCTAATCTATACATATTTTGCTAACAGAGTTGTGAGCACTTTTACAATTTCCATATCAGCCATTAACACTATGCCAGTAAAATACAGGAGAATCTTCATTATATGAATTTTTATTATCTGAACATTCTATCATATGACCTTCTGTTATCTGAACATTCTATCATATGAACTTCTGTTATCTGAACATTCTATTATATAAACGGTATATTTTCTATTGTAATATTGTGTGTAAACATACAGGGGATGACGAAAATAACTGGAATCAGTTCGATTTCTAATTTAATAATAACTTTTATGAAAGATATATGATTAAAAGATAAAAGTGAAAGTTATATGATATTAAGAAGAACGTAATTTAATGTGATTATCTTCTCCTTACATGAATGTTTAGAGAACATATGAAGGTGATATTTTTATTGCTCAACTTAGTGGTTGGTATCTTTGTTAATATTGGTCGAAATGGCTTCAACTTTGGCTCAAATTATAGTTTGCACTCTCTATTTCAATTTACTTCTTTTGTAGTTACCTAATTCAACTACTAAA